TAGGCATGAAAGCTCACAAGGTGGCTTTGGGCCAATCACCAGGAGACTGAGAGTTCTAGTTCCGCCTTAGGCATGAAAGCTCATGACGTGACTTTGGGCCAATCACCAGCAGACTGAGAGTTCTAGTCCCACCTTAGGCATGAAAGCTCACGAGATGACTTTGGGCCAATCATCAAGCGACTGAGAGTTCTAGTCCCGCCTTAGGCATGAAAGCTCACGAGGTGACTTTGGGCCAATCACCAGGCGACTGAGAGTTCTAGTCCCGCCTTAGGCATGAAAGCTCACAAGGTGGCTTTGGGCCAATCACCAGGCGACTGAGAGTTCTAGTCCCGCCTTAGGCATGAAAGCTCACGAGGTGACTTTGGGCCAATCACCAGGCGACTGAGAGTTCTAGTCCCGCTTTAGGCATGAAAGCTGGCTAGATGACTTTGGGCCAATCCTTCTCTCTCTCAGTGCAGCCCACCTAACAAGGCTGTTGTGAAGTAAATGGAAGGAGAAAGGAGTAATCGGTTACGTCTGCTGCCTTGAGTTATTTGTAGAGGTGACTTCTCTGTCCCAACGGACCCCCGAAAGGGCCTGGCTTCTCTGCCTTGCTTGTTTAAAGGCATCTTGCAGGGGCCACCTCCCAAAAGGCCCTGCTTATCCCCCCACGGGCCCTCCCTGCAACGATCACCCGCGAAGCCTTTTGACCTTCTCACGGCCAAAGTTGGACATTCTCCTTGGGGACACATTTGGGAGCAGGAAGGGAAGGCTGGAGGAGAGACCGAGGGGGGGGGAGGAAGGAACTGGGAGCTTCCAAGAGGCTGGACGTGTTTGTGCAAAGTTTCTCCCCTCGCAGGACAATTTCAGGAAACCGGTCAAGGCCACTCGGTCTTTAAATAGCGCCCCGATGTTGCGGGAAGAGATGGTCATTGTTTTGGGGGGGGGGAGAAAATGCAGCTTCCATTTTCCTAAGCATGGGTGGAAAGGGGCTCCGGAAGGGGGAGGGTTCCGCTGCGCTCGGCATTGAGCAAGGATGATGGGATTTGTAAGTCTCTGGATTAGCTCTGGCATCAAATCCCACTGGGGCGAGAGCAGCGGAGGAAAAAAACTCGCAGCCCTTTTTGGGGTGTCTGTGTGAGACAGAGACTTCTCCAGAAAGATGCTTGCTTAGCCATCTTTGTCGAGAGGAAATTGCAGAACTCCTGCAGCCAGGGCTTTAATCCAAGGATTCCCTGTTCCCCTGAGCTTCAGGGTCCCAGTTCGAGTCCTGCCCTCTGATCTGGGACTCGTGTGGCAGCAGAGAGCAGCTCCCCAGTGGGACTCGGCAGCCGGGGATCAGCTCCGCCTTGCCTGGCTGCAGGGAGGAGGCAGGAGCGCAAGGGAGAGCGGCGTGCGTGCGCTCGTCCCCGTGCCCAGATGTTCCCCTGCCAGCCGTGGGAGGCGTTGCCCGCTGGAGAAGTCCCGTACCTGCTTCCCTGCCCTACCAACTGCTGGTTCTGCCCTCCGGCAGCTGCCTTCACCGCGCCTCCCTTTCCAGCCGGTGCCAAAAGGGGCCGGCGCTCCCTCTTTTCACACGGGGGGGCTTTCCCAGGGCAGGAATTTCCAGCAAGACTCAGGAAGCCAGCTGGGGTGCCGGCCGCAGAGGGCAGGGTGACGGGGTTGGCATCCTGAAAGCCGCGCCGGGCGCTAGGCAGGATGGGTGGGGAGGAGCTGCTAGGGAGAGGGCCTGGGGGGGCAGGAAAGAGGCATCCTTGCCTTCCCATCCCACGGCATTCATCCAGGGCACCTCCCTGGGCACCCATCCCTTGCTTCCTCAGATCTGCAGGTCAACACAATACAAGTGGCTGCATTCACACGGCTTGTGCAGATTGTAATAATAGTAATAATAATAGTAATAATAGTAAAGTTGGAAGGGACCTTGGGGGTCATCTAGTCCAACCCCCTGCTCAGGCAGGAAACCCTATACCATTTCGGATAAATGGCTGTCCAGTCTTTTCTTAAAAACTTCCAGTGTTGGAGCTTCTGGAGGCAGGTTGTTCCACTGGCTAATTGTTCTAACTGTCAGGAAGTTCCTCCTTAGTTCTAGGTTGCTTCTCTCCTTGATTAGTTTCCACCCGTTGCTTCTTGTCCTGCCTTCAGGGGCTTTGGAGAATAGCTTGACTCCCTCTTCTTTGGGGCAGCCCCTGAGATACTGGAACACTGCTATCATGTCCCCCCCTCGTCCTTCTCTTCATTAAACTAGACATACCCAATTCCAGCAGCCTTTCCTCATATGTTTTAGCCTCCAGTCCCCTGATCATCTTTGTTCCTCTTCTCTGCACTCTTTCTAGAGTCTCAGCATCTTTTTTACATCGTGGTGACCAAAACTGGATGCAGTATTCCAAGTGTGGCCTTACCAAGGCCTTGTAAAGTGGTATTAACTCTTCACGTGATCTTGATTCTCTCCCTCTGTTCATGCAGCCTAGCACTGTGTTGGCCTTTTTGGCAGCTGCAGCACACGGCTGGCTCCTATTTAGATGATTGTCCGATTGCTGAAGGTTCACGTCATTCGTTCCCTCACCTGGGGAGGTTGGTTTTACGATTCAGTGTATTGGGGCAACTCCGAAAAACGGGGTGCCGTGGATAAACCCCACTCTAAGAACGAGTTTCTTTCCACCACCACCCCTTGAGGAGGTGGCTGCATCTGCCCAGCTGGGACCCAGCGACGGGCAAGGCTGCGGCAGTGACCCCCGTGTCCTCTGGATGACTGTGCCCGGGCGGCTTTGCCCATGCCTGTGCCAGCCTTCTTGGCGTTGAGTGGCGGAGGGCTTGATTGGCAGCTCGCTCGGCTCTCCTTCCCCAGGGAGCAGGTGGGCATCTCGGGGGCTGCGCAAGGAGAAGGGAGATCAGCTCTCCCTTTCGCCCCCGCCCTTCCCCTCCCCATCGTGATCCAGAGGTCTATTTTTTCCTGCGCTGTTCGGTC